GCCTGCCTTCGAGCAATTTTAAGCTAAATATAAGTCAAACAAAAAACGAAGTTAAACTATGGACTTTAAAATTAAAAATACAAAGAAGTAAAATTAAATATTAAGTGATATATATATATATATATGCTTGAAAATAGAGCAATCCATATATTACAATATTTAAAAATGCCTATTTTGGATCATAAAGTTTTTATTTCCGATATTTCGTGAGGCAACTCGCCAAACTTCCTCTGGGAACAAAATCGCTTTAGAGAAGCTCGCGTATCATTTCGCGAGTATATACAACCGCTATAAAATTTAAATATCTAGAATCTACAATATGCATGCCTCTATGAATATAATTATTAATAATAATATAATATGTAAAACATTAATATATAGAGAATTAAGTAAATATATACATTTAAAATAAACGAATTGAAAATCAGCAATTTGCCATATATATACATATATACGTGTATAGTAGTGGGCTATGTGGTTTTAAATTGTAAGTATAGTTGAGGAATGTCTATTTTTCGGTTGATACTGTTTTTATCTTCTATTGAGCTCCAGCTTTCTAGAAAAAGTCTTGAATGTTTATCCTTGATATTTTGATATACTATTTCTGTTGAGTCGAAATTTGGTATGTGGTCCTGTTTTAGTGCGTGGTCTACTAAAAGGGAAAGAGGGCTATAGTTTTTAAGGGCTGTCCGGTGTTGATTGGTTCTTTCTTCCAGAGTTTTTCCTGTCTCTCCTATGTATGTAGCTGGGCAAGATCGGCACGGGATTCTGTAGATGAGGTTGGATTTTTGACTGTTGTTTGTGTTATGTTTGGTATCGGGATGGCGGAGAAGTGTTTTCAAGTTGGATGGTGTCTGGTATATGGTCTTGATGTTATATTTCTTGAGGGCTCTACTGATTCTTTCTATGCCGTAGCTGTACGGAATTGTGCAATATGATTTATGAGATTGGCTATTGGAAGGAGGGATGAATGTTGATCTGTAGAATTGTCTTTTGATAAATTCTGTGGGATAACTATTGCTTTGTAATTCATTCATTAGTATTGTTCTTTCTTGTTGTGCCTTTTCTAGATTATTGGAGCAATGAGTAGATATTCTTTTTGAGAGGGTTTTTATAACAGATATTTTATGGTTAATAGGACCGAATGAGCTGAAATTTAAGTAACCACCTGTGTGAGTTTTCTTACGGTAAATGCCTGTTTCTATTTTAGAATTGTTTCTGGTGAGAATTATATCTAAGAATGATAAAGAGTTTTTTTCTTCTATTTCATGTGTAAATGTGAGAAATGGTTTTATATTGTTCAAGAAATTCAGAATGCTTGTTGTATTGTTGTTTTCGGTTATGCAAAGAATATCGTCAATATATCTCTTCCAGAATGTTATTTTTAGCTCCTTATTGTCTATTATTGATTGGTCAATATTATTCATGAAAATGTTTGCCAGAGCTGAAGATATTGGGTTGCCCATCGGGAGGCCTTTGATCTGTTTGAAGTATTGATTCTTGTAGTTAAAGTAGCTGAATGATAGGCACAGTTTGAGTAAGTCTATGAGGGCTTCCTTTGGTATAGACAATGGTAGGTTGGGGTGGGCATTCAAGAATTCTGAAATTTCTGCAATAGCTTCATCATGTGGGATTGAGGTATACAGTGATTCAACATCAAAGGAGACCAGGCGACTGTTCTCCGTTATTTGAGTTCTTGAAATTATTTCTATTGCTGCTGTGGAGTTGGGAATAGTATGAGGTAATTCTTTCTGAAAAGGTGAAATTACTGAGGAAAGGTATTTCGACAAGGGGTATATGGGGGTGCCGGCGTAGGATACAATGGGGCGTAGAGGGCTGTTTTGCTTGTGTACCTTTGGTAGGCCATAAAATATAGGCAAGTTAGTGTTTGCTGCTTTTAGTTTGTCGAATGTTTTGCTATCCAATTTATAATTACGTTTTATTTTGTTCAATTGTCTATTGAACTCTTTGATTATGTTCGCTAGGGGGTTATTAGGTAACAGTTCATATACATTTTGTTCTTCAAGTAGCTGCTTGATTTTGTTATCATAATCCATCGTGTCCATTATAACAGTATTTTTGCCTTTATCTGAAGGAGAAATTACAATACTCTTGTTTGCCTTTAAGGAATTTATTATATTTCTTTCATCTTGAGTAAGGTTATTCTTATTCTGTCGGTTCAAGCTTTTGAGGATGGGCACTATTTTTGTTCTAACCTTTTCTTTTTCTTCATTTGGTATGTTCTTAATTGAAGTTTCAATGCTTGCTATTGTTTTTGGGATGTTTATTTTCTGTGATGGGACGAAGTTGAGACCTTTTGCTAATAGTGTTATGGTTTCTGGTGTGAACTGTTGTTTCGACAGATTGATTACATTACTTTCCTTGTGATGGTTTTTGGGGTTATGCTTCCATCTGTTGAGTTTTTGACTTTGGCGATTGTACATACCAGCTCTTCTATTTCTGCATTTTGTCTCGATATATTCAGTTAAATGCTTGAAATGTGAATTATCCATTATTCCTTGAACTATAGGTAGGAGAGTTTGTAGAGTTGATTCAATTCTGCGGAGGTTAAAATGACAGTTTTTTATTCTGGCATTCAAAAGCTTTTTGCTAGTTTGATTTATAATTTTGTGTGAATAATTAGTTCGAATTGGATCTTTGAGCATTAGAGATGGTGGAATTATGTTGTCCTTTAAGCATCTGTGGTTGAATTCTAAGTGTTGCTTCCAAGTGCTGGAGGATAAACGGAGATTTTCAAATTTTCTTGCTTTTTGAACAGCTTCAATACCATATCTGGCTTTTATGTGCTTGAAAATAGAGCAATCCATATATTACAATATTTAAAAATGCCTATTTTGGATCATAAAGTTTTTATTTCCGATTATTTTATTTAAAACCACATAGCCCACTACTATACACGTATATATGTATATATATGGCAAATTGCTGATTTTCAATTCGTTTATTTTAAATGTATATATTTACTTAATTCTCTATATATTAATGTTTTACATATTATATTATTATTAATAATTATATTCATAGAGGCATGCATATTGTAGATTCTAGATATTTAAATTTTATAGCGGTTGTATATACTCGCGAAATGATACGCGAGCTTCTCTAAAGCGATTTTGTTCCCAGAGGAAGTTTGGCGAGTTGCCTCACGAAATATCGGAAATAAAAACTTTATGATCCAAAATAGGCATTTTTAAATATATATATATATATCATATAAATATAAAACGTTTAGTATCAGAGAATGCCAGGCCCCTTCGCTAGCCGAAGCGGTTCCATCAGACAGATGATTTCACGAGATATATATTTTGATTGGACTCAGAGGGGTCGGTTTGTCTATACGTCATATCTCTACGGACAAACACCTCGACCTGTCCACAGTGCACTGGCTATGTCAAAGGTGGTTAGAACAAGGAAATGTGGCACGATTGAGGGGTGCTGGTGCGAACAGAGTGACGTCAGCATGCGTGGATCGACACATCCGCTGGATGGCATTTTGAGAATATGCAGGATACTCTTGATTCTCCCGTATCGACCAAAACCATTATACACTAATTGAGCGCCAACATGCCCTACATTAGACTTCAGTGCTTCCATAGCCACCAGACTCTTTTGATCTAACCTATAGAACACGTCTGGTATCTAATTGGACGTCGTTTTCGTTCCATGTCACAACCGCGTTGCAGATGGTTGACTAGGAATGGGCAGCCATCCGTCAGGACATCATCCGAACGCTCATTGAATCAGTACCAAGACGTGCCTGCATAGCCGCCCGCGGTGGTCCCACACATAGGTATACAAGTACTTGTATTCTGTTTTAATAAAGACCATTTATTGCTCGTTATTGTGGTAATCTCTTTTTGCAGATTTTCACAACTTTTGGGAACAAATTCTTGATGTTGCAAATTCAGTGTCACGTAGTATGTGACCCGACATAGCACTTTGGTGGAGTAATGGCATACACTGTCGTTTCTCGACAACAGCGACTCGGGATCGAATCCCGCAATGTCACTTTTTTTTCAACACCTTTGCTTCATTGGCCTCTTACTCTTGCACAAGCCCAACTTCACAAATGAGTACAAGTCACTAAACAGGGCTCTGGTACTTTGTGTATGCAGGAGTTAAACTTCTTTCTACGTGTATAGACATGAGAAAGATGAGTCCCAAGACCCCACCCGCCATTATTACCCTGGCCTGCACCACAAGGACTTGTATTATATGAACAAGGCAGGTTTTCACGTAATTTATTTTCCTTGAATTTATAATAAACGTTTTATCAGTAATTTAGAGCCCGTAATTCATGATTGAGATTGAATTTCAAAATTGCGGCCTCGCCATGCCAACCCTGGAGTCGTCCTCTAGTCCTTAGTTGTGAAATCCGTTAAGAAACTAAGGGAGAGTTCTCGCACAGGAAATTCCAGAGTTTATAAAATGTTTGCCTTTTTTCGACCTTGGAGTTACGGAACACACGAACCTCCATATCTAAAGATCGAGTCTTATTGACTTCAATCGTTTGCCAGTCCATTAGGATATCTCGACGGACAGGAATCTCAATTTTGTTGAATATATTTTAATATGACGTCGTATAAAATACAGCGTTGATATTTTTTATGTTATTGTTGTTTATTATTACCTCTGATATAATTCAGATCATCTCCAACAGGTTCCAGAGTCTCAGTTTTAGATTCTCACGGAGAGGGAAAGGAAGGTACTGTTGGTCTGGGCATCTGGATTTACTACTCAGTATGACTTTGCTTCTGGCTTTTGAGCGCTCCTAACGTGGAGTACAGACGCCATTTGTAGCCATTCCTCTAGAGAACAAACGTTACTAAATTGTACTTTCCGACATTATCCGGGTGTTAGCACAGGGTGGCCCTACCAGGAGTTGAACTTCCGATGTACTGTGCTACCTTTTTCACCCTCTCGTCACGCTGTAGGATAGAACTTTGGGAGAGGATATTACTTATTAATATGTAGGATGGTTGTTGATGTGCTGTGTTGGTGTGGCTTCTGACTCCAGATCAGAAGGTTGCGTGTTCGAATCACGTCCGGCTCACCAATTTGTAGGATGGTTGTTGATGTGCTGTGTTGGTGTGGCTTGTGGAAAGGCTGCTGATAAAATTATAATTAAAATTAATTTATTTAAAGCAAGAAATTATAGAGAGAAAAGAAACAACGGTTGGAGTAACCACCGTTGGAGTAAGCCTACATGTTTACCGCTAAATCCCAGCGTCTCTGATGATGTCCCACGCGCATGCGTAGTGAAGTGTTGACGCCCGCGCATGCGTTGAAGCAAAGTGTAGTCGCCACAAATATGATAATAACCACTATTGAGAAATACCTACTTTCGAGTATAACGAATATTATATATTGACTGAGATTAGAGAGTAAACGATTAATATATTACTTTATCGTAAAAAGGTTAAAATAAAACAATGTAATAATACAATGTTGCATTAAATAAACTTCCACTCTAAAGCAAAATTTATATCTCATTGATTTCAGTTTATTTCTCTGGGTAATGATGATACGAAAGATAATGGAACTTATCCAAGTGAGCCAACTGTCTTTACTGCAAGTTTACACCGCTATCTATACAGCAAGTCGACGTTTGCACTTGCAAGTGTGTCATATAGGCACGTTTGTCTATTTTTACTCTCTCGTGAGGTTGAACTTTCCCAAGAATCGGGAACCATTAAAGCAATCTTCTTTTTCAGAAAAAAAAAAAGACCAATGCGGAAATTGATCCCGGGTTGTAGCTGTCGTAAAACAACGGTTTATAACCACTCCTCAATCAACCCCGTTATGATTTATATTATAATCCCATTATACTTATGATTTATATTAAACATACAGGCGCAACATCAGGTCCTGTGTTATGGTATTTATTATTGAACGTGGCAGACCCTGAGCAGGGACACTATGTCTGGAGTTTTGTACTCCTGGTAAGGGCCATCCTAAGCACGATGGCTACTCTACTAAGCTCAACTAAATGTGAACAGGCAAAGTCCTACCTTTGTGTGGCTCAGATGTTCCCAATCAACAGGAAGCACATCCAGTTACTCCGAATGAATTCTACTCTTCTCTAATGCTGCCCCGTCCATCGAGCAGAATAAAGAGGGCGCGTTCAGGATATAAGGGATAGACACCACCAACATTATTGGAATTTACTTTTTTTAAATAGAGGAACGGCTCATTTTTGTATGCAATACTTTAAACTATTTTGTTTAAAATAGTGAAATCTCATTTATTTTGTCTTCAGGTTTGGAAAATATTCAAGGAAGTTTCATATTTTGTTCTTGACGGTCGTTTTATTTTTAAGAAGACGGAGTCAATTTTTTTGACACTTGGTTATTTCGTGTGTCTTCAATAAAGGTCATTGTGTATCAAATATCTTTCAGAGTTATTGTCTGAACGCCAACCTTTATAAAGGTATTATAAAGAATCAATGTGGGTCATTATGTCAATTATAACATATTAATGTTTGTTGTTGACACACATTAATATGTTATAATACTTCGAAAAAGGTTGGCGTTCAGGCAACTTAAATATTGGTAAAATAAATTATATTTTGATCCAATATATGCCTTTTCATTAAAAAATTTGAATATATATTAGAAAAATGATATAAGTATTTTATATATTTTTGCAAAAACTATAATAAAATATAATTTTATAAAACGTTAAACGGAAATATATTTTGAAAAGGTAGGAAAGCTTTCGAACCACGAGCTATTCATCAATCCCCTCTTTCAATGTGAAACGTTTATGTATATTTGAACGTTTCACATTGAAAGATGGGATTGTTGAAGATCTCGTGGCTCGAAAGCTTTCATACCTTTTAAAAATATTTCCGATATGGCACCAGTCTTGTAGATATAGTTGTGCCCAAGGTTCCCTATAACACCTCCGTAGCTCGCCCAATTGAATAGAACTATTAGAACGTATCTCTATCTGAATATCGTAATCTCTGCTTAACGCACCGCATCTATTTAAAATCGCCAGTTATCTAATCTAAGTAATTAAGATCATTATATTTATTATTGAAGAGACACCAAAATATGGTGATTCAACAAGGGCGGTAGGAAATCCCACCTGCTTAGAGAATTTTTGGGTTGTTAGACTATCCGCGCATGTTTCTGTTATTTCATCTACTTATCCTAGACAATTGACAATTAAAATAATTTTAGTGACATCTTGTCGATACATGCAAAAGTGCACAGTCTGCACTCTTCTAAAAAGATAATTATATATATGCATAATTATATGTACAATGAATATGGCTCCTCTGCCATCGCTGCAGAGTTTAGTGAAGAATCACCAGCGGGTCTCCAGCGACACCACGTATTTCGCGATTTACGATCTACTTATCCTAGATACACGAGGTTTCAGCCATGATAATCATGGTGGGGTCGTTGACGACTTATTTTCAATCACTATGAGTTTACACCACATGTGTGAACTTGTAGAAAGCATTCCGACTTTTGAATTTATAAGGTTTCATAACCCCGTTTGGTATCTGTACTCAATGATGGGGTTGGATTTGTGCATTGACATTTTTTTTACATGAAAATGTGCCCATTGCTGGATTCAACCCCAGGTCGTAGTAGTTGAAATTCGGCTATGGGTGCCATGTGTAGGGTGAAGAAATGGTAGCTAAAGCTGCAGTCACAATAAATGAAATGGAGTTAGAATCAAAGGTTGTTTTTGTAAAATATTATTTTATCGTAAAATAATAGATAAAAGGAAATGTAAGTTTGTATCATATCAACAAGGTTAAGTTTTTGCATCATTTCTCTAGCTCTCGGGTCAACATGCCCTTCAACAGGAACATCTAGAAGTATAACTTCCAACTAACTATACACGCCATTAAGTTTTGTCCTTTAGTGTTACCTAAAAGGGTGTACAATAGTTTGTGATAGATTAAACCGGCGAAACGGTATGAGGGTCCAATGATGATAAGTCAGGTCCTACTAAAATATCTTTATCATAAAACTCTAGATGGCGCAATATATTGTATTTGATTGGTGCGCATCAAGAACGAAGCCACTCGAATAGAAGAAGAAGCAGACTGATTTGTACATTTCGAAACTCTTGTCATCTGAAAATAAAACAGTGTTTATATTTAAATTTATAATTTCATACTTCATATAGAAAGATAAGAAAGAAGATAAGATAGAGATAAAAAAGAAGAAGATGCTTCATTTTTTTGCTAATATTAAGAGGAATAAACCCCGTGATCCAACCTTGCTAGGATCAGCATGACCTTGCCTTGTTTACACGGCATAAAGTGGATTGTATCTTTAATCTCTATTGTCATGTTCGTAGTCCTAAAATATACAATGGTTCAGTAATATTGGTATTTAAAAAATTCAAAATTATAGTATTTTAGTTTTATTAGAGCGCGGCATATTCCACACTAGCCTGTTCAGTGATACGCTAACTTTGAAGTATGCACGAAGGAACGTGTGGCCACTGGACATATGTCGGACCTGGAGGCTGTTGTTGGGTTCTGCGCTGCCTGGAGTACAGGAGCTCCATCTATGCTTCCTTTCTTCCTGTAGTGAATCTGTATAAGACCGGTGGTCTTAATAAAGCTTTATGTGTATTTTAGTTTTATTCACCAATATATTGTTCCAAACGTCTTGTTTTAAAGGTGTGAGAACCAACCGCTTATACCCACACATGAGCACAACATAATTGGATTCCTCTCATTTACCTATTGGTTTTATAAAGTTGATAGAGAGAATTATCATAATCCAATGTAATATCTTGAAGTTAGAGGTTGCCTGGCCGGCATTCATTGTGCTTTAAAATAAGACACTTCGGCCAGTAAACGTTTTATTCTTTTTTAAAACATTTTCTGGCCGAAATGTTTCTTATTTTTAAGAACCAATGCAGTAGCTATCTACCGTCATTTTTATGAATAAGGACGATTTGATTATAAAATCTACTTATCCCAACGAGTTTATAATGTTGCTAGAGAATTATTGTAGTACAATGCAATATGTTTCTACCGTTATATACAAATAAGCACGATTTGATTTGAAAGTCTACTTAACCCAACGAGTTTATAATGTTGTTAGAGCATTATTGTAGTACAATGCAATATGTATCTACCGTCATACCGTCATATACGAATTATCACGAATTTTTTAGAAATTCTACTTAACCCAACGAGTTTATAATGTTGCTAGAGAATTATTGTAGTACAATTCAATATTTATCTACCGTCATATACGAATAGTCACTAATTGTTTAGAAAATCTACTTAACATAACGAGTTTATAATGTTTCTAGAGAATTATTGTAGTACAGTTTCTATTGTTGTGCACAAATAAGCACAAATTGATTATAAAATCTACCTAACTCAACGGGTTTATAATGTTGATAGAGAATTATTATAGTAAAATATCTATCGTTGTGCACAAATAAGCACAAATTGATTATAAAATCTACCTAACTCAACGGGTTTATAATGTTCCTAGAGAATTATTAGAGTAAAATATCTATCGTTGTGCACAAATAAGCACAAATTGATTATAAAATCTACCTAACTCAACGGGTTTATAATGGTGATAGAGAATTATTGTAGTGCGATGTGATTTTTATCTACCGTTATACACAAATAAGCACAAAATAATGATTTTCAAAATTCTTCTTGACCAGTTTACAAAGTTGCTCGGGGATCATTCTAACACAACGTAAGACTTTCCTGAGACTCGCAGCACTTGGAAACAAAAGGAATCTTACATCAGCAGAGAACACACTGAGGGCGTGAGCTCATCCTACGCACATAAAAATGACACATCGTAAAATATCTTTCGATGTTTTTCAAGGTGACACGAAGAGAGTTCAATAAAAATAGATTTTAAGCAAATTGCCCAAGGATGATCCTGACCAAATTTGGGCAATCACGAGTTACTTCTATGAATTCATTATTTAAATATGTTACCTAAGACAGCTTCCATGACCAAATTAAAAACAGCCAAGATGCTTCTTTTGACATCTGCCATGGCTCGACTGTCAAAATGGCGTGTTGTTGTGTACGGTTTAGGTGA